CACTTTATATATCTATAAAGTTTTTCTTTTCTTTTCTTTTCTGTGATATGTGTACTTATATTTTACATATATACTTTATTTATAAAATCCATATTATACTTATACAGGGTTCGGTAATAGCGTTTCGGGCATCTATAGCTCGTAGAATAAAAAAACTTATGAATTTTGTTTAAGTGCAGACCTAAAGTATGTACTAGGATGTATTTCAGGAAAATATTTTAACTTCTTCAAAAAAGTGTGAGTGGATCAGGATGCTTTTTTTAAATGGAACACCCTGTATATTATTACATTTTTGGCTACATTTTAGATGACTTTACATAATCTTAAGATATGAGTAAATATATTTCGATATTTTCAGAGAAGTTAATAAAAAATAAATAAAAAATATATATTTTTTAGCCTTCCTTAAAAAAAATTATTAAAAATACAAAAACCTGTCCTGAGATCAAAACTATATCAGGTTTTTACTTTAGATAGTTTCAACTTACTTCGCTGTAAATATGGTAATCGTAAATCATACAGGTTGTTTCTTCAAATTCTACGCCAAGCTTTCTAAAATATAAAATATTTTTTCTTGTTTTTTTTAAACGGAACACCCTGTATATTATATTTTCAATGGAGAACTAAAAAATGAACATTTTTTGTATTTAGAGTATTTAAAAAATTTTAACGGTTTTGCACATATTTGTGGTTTTATATTTCATACGGCATTTTCCACAGGAAATTTTTATGAAAGCCACCCAATGATTTTTCTCTCGTATTTTACCATTGAAACAGCCGTATGAAGTACTGCCTGTATCTGTGAAACCATTAAAATTTTTGAAATACTGTATATACAAAAAATGTTAATTTTTTAATTGTCCATCTATTGAAAAAAATAATATGCAGAGTGTTCCATTACAAAAAAAAACAAATTATTTTATATATTAGAAAGTTTGGCGTAGAATTTTGAACATCCTGTATGACTTCAGGACAGTTCTTGTATTTGTAATAATTTTTTAAGGCAGGTTAAAAAATATATTTTTTTTATTTATTTATTAATATTTCTGAAATTATTGAAATAGATTTACTCTTATCTTAGGATTATGATTATGTAAAGTAACCTGAAAGAAAGCAAAAAAGCAATAATATACAGGGTATTCCATTAAAAAAATCATCCTGATCCACTCACACTTTCTTGGGCCATTCTATTCATAGAAGTTAAAATATTTTCCTAAAAAACATCCTCGTGCATACTTTAGGTTTGCACTTAAAAAAAATCCCAACTTTTTTATTCTAGGAGCTACAGATGCCCGACACACTAGTACCGAACCCTGTATATATATTGTAGGCATATCGAATAATTCGGCAAAATAAAAACCCTAAATCACCACAATACACCAAAACACTTTTACTTTTACACTGGACGCGCGTTTCGCTAACCATGTTAGCATCATCAGCAGATGATTATAAACTTAGTTTTTGAGCTTAATTTTTCTTAGCAGATGATTATAAAGTTAGTTTATCATCATCTGCTGATGATGCTAACATGGTTAGCGAAACGCGCGTCCAGTGTAAAAGTAAAAGTGTTTTGGTGTATTGTGGTGATTTAGTGTTTTTATTTTGCTGTGTAACACCAAAGGTTCCAATCCTCAACTGTAAGGAATAATTCGGCATTTTGCAAAGATACTAGGCATATTATAAAACGCCGGCGTTTTAAACAAAACGAGGAAATTTTACAAACAGCCTATCTATTTTCAGTCGCTTTGCAAAATGCCTAATAGGAATTAGACTACAAATTAAACAATGATGATATGCTGGACATTTCTTTATTCATTAATTATTCTAAAGTTAAATATTGTGATTTTACTAGATATAACTATATTATCATCAATATAATTAAACAGATAATAATTATTTTAGGTTTAGGATTTCATTTATTTTTTAAAGAAAAATTTATGAAATTCCGAAGAAAATGGTGTTTTGTTTACAAAGTTATTCACCTCGCATCATTTCCATATTTAAATTGAATTGCTACATTTGCGACTTTATGAACTTCATCTATTTTGATATTAGCCATCTATGCTTTACATATTTGTATAATTGGTAAAATTTTTAGAATTAAAAATATCAAAAATGTAGTAATGCCAAACAGGGGCGGATACAGGAATTTATAATTAAAAGTAATTTATAATATGTTATTTAGGGAGCCATTTTTAACCCAAAAGCCTAATATTTAACCCATTTTATAGATTTTAGGGGAGGCCCGTGCCCCATGGGCACCCTCTGTATCCGCCACTGATGCCAAATAAATTAGTTACACATATATTGATCTGGTCATTCCAAATCCCTTGTCTTTATTTTAATGATAAAAGAAAGATAAATGTAGTCAACATCTTATAATCAGTAGATCACATAGGTAGACAGTTAAAAATGAGTCAGATAAAAATGAAGAATCAATTTCTAAAGAGGAGAAAAACTGAGCTTTTTAGAACACATATGGGGAGAATGGAATCTGAAATGTCCTTAGACTAAGGACGATCCTGTATACAGGGTGGTCCGAACTCTATTCCGTAAACTTTGGCAGCATATTCTGCAGATAAAAATATGTAAAAAAGTTCATATAAATGTATGTCCTAAAATGCTTAGTTTCGAAGATACAGGGTGTAGAAGTTTCATTTTTATTTCGATTTTTTCCAAATAATTTCTGAAGTAACATCAACATTTGGATGAAAATTGGTGTATGGGAGTTTTTTGACATGAGAATTTTGGATTTTGATGTCAATAAGACTCGTATTTGTAGGGGGCGCCACCTACATGTGTTTTAATTGTTTTGAAGAGTAATAACTTTTTGTCCGTACCTGTATAAAACTACTGAGTGAAAAAATATACATTTATGGAGTTTTTTACGTAAAAAATGTTTTTTGGTAAAAATCGCTACCAGTAATGGTTAAGATATTTGGAATCGATATTATCAATACCTGTCATCATTGACATAATTAAACATGTTGACTAAACAGTTAGACTGAGATCATAAATTTGAAATGTTTTTGTGCGAAAAGTTCAACAGAAACTATTTTATCATCATTTTTTCGCAAAAAAAATTATGATTAATTTAAAAAAATAAAAATTTCTCAAATTTATTATTTCAGTCAAATAACTATCTACTCAACGTGTTTATTTTGTGTCAATAAAATTATGATATAATGTATTGACTATTTTTATTCTAAATATTTTGATAACGGTTACTCGTAGCGATTTTACCAAGAGACCTTTTTTACGTAAAAAACTCCATAAATGTATATTTTTTCACTCAGTAGTTTTATACAGGTACGGACAAAAAGTTATTACTGTTCAAAACAATTAAAACACATGTAGGTGGCGTCCCCTACAAATAGGAGTCATATTGACATCAAAATCAAAATTCTAATATCAAAAATCTCCCATACACCAATTTTCATCTAAATATTGACGTTACTGAACAAATTATTTGAAAAAAATCGAAATTAAAATGCAATTTCAACACCCTGTATCTCCGAAACTAAGTATTTTAGGACATACATTTATACGAACTTTCTCACTTATTTTTATCTGCAAAATATGCTGCCGAAGTTTCCGGAATACAGTTCGGACCACCCTGTATTATAAACATTCTACAGTGTGTCCCAATATTCCGTGGACATAGAACTACTACGTATTTTTGGAATCAAAATAAGTTCATTGGACACAATTTACCTCTATATAAAAGTGCTTCGTTTGTCCGCTAAAGGGCATCAAACTTTAAAGAAATAAACACATTTTTTCAGACATTTTAAGAACCTTTATTCCGATTTGAATGAGATTTTTGGTGTCTGTGTTTTGCTAAGTGCTTTAACATTTGGCATTCACAAAATTCAAGAAAAAGTACGGGAAGAGTGAAAACCACCCCCACCTCTACATAAATTTTAGTATAAATATTTTCCAACTCCATCGACAACAGATTTTCTTTTCGTAAAATGGTCCCTCTAGTATTTACAACATTTTTTGCATCGTTTTTGTGAAAAATTTTTTTAAAGAATTTATTTTTCCAAAGCAGGCTTACAAAATATACAAGGAGTTTCAATATTTCGTGGACATAGAACAATTACGTATTTTTTAATCAAAATAAGTTAATTGTACATACATAATTTTCCTTTGTACAAAAGTGATTCGTTTGTCCGTTAGAGGGCATCAATCAAAGATAAACCCGAACGTTAATTAATTTAAAAATTATTAATTTTTTAAAGCTTTTTACGAAACTTATCGTCAAACATAATTTATGATACTAACATAAAATTCTATATTTTTGCCAACTAGATTAATACCATAACTTATGTGAGGCATTAATCAGGTTAAGTCAGGTTTTGAAAAATAATTTTTTCCTCAAAAAGTATGCATGGTGGCGTTTTTTTACAAGAGACAAAAAATGTAGTAAATACTAGAGGGATCATTTTACGAAAAGAAAATCGCCCGTCGCGTCGGTGGAGTTGGAAAAAAATTATACTAAAATGTATGTAGGGATGGGGGTAGTTTTGACCCTTCCCCTACTACACAGACTCCCAAAATCTCATTCAAATCGGAGCAACGGTTCTTAAAATATCCGAAAAAATGTGTTAATTTTTTTAAAGTTTGATGCCCTCTAGCGGACAAACAAAGCACTTTTTGCATAGAGGTAAATTGTGTCCAACGAAGTTATTTTGATTCCAAAAATACGTAGTAGTTTATACTTAGTTTTACTTAATATTGGGATACTCCGCACATGCGATAGATTGTGTTAATTATAAAACAATGTAATAAACATTTTGTACATAATACACATGTAGAAGATGCACAACTTTATACAATATTGTATATAGCACAATACTATTACAACACATTTAGTTTACACGTATTTAAAATTCAGCTATTAAACTATTCATTTAGAATTTTAAATTTATTGATCTTTTAGTGAACTTTTAAATAATACCATACCACATTTATGCATAAAACGTATTATACGATAGTCAATAACGCTTATTGACTTAATGGTGGCGGTTGCTCTTTCCTTTATTACGAGATATTTTTGAATGGTAGAACTATACGGCTATTCTTATTACATTTTTTAAACATTGTTAGATTTATTTGTATCAAAACATTTTAGTAATATATTTTAGCAAGTTTGTAAAACTATTTCATCATGATCAATCCGGAAATGAAGATAGTTGACGAAGATGTGGTTATCTCTGGTATAGGCGGTTATTTTCCTCAATCGACAAATTTTGAGGAATTTGGAAAACACCTTTTGGACAATGATAACCTAATAGAAGATAGATGGAAAGAAGGTAAAACTTTATATATAATTTATAGTTTATGATTTGTGCTTTTTAGTAGAAAAATATTATTTAAGAAAGAAACTCTTAAATGTTACATATTGTATTTGTTGTTTTTGACAGCTAATAGTTAATTTTTCATATTCTTGTGTCTGCAAGAAGAAATCCTATTCTGTCCTATTCAACAGTTTTTTCCAATAATAAGAGGGCCTCCTGCGCCGGAACTATCTATGTCTGCACCCACTCCTGCTGTTTAAGGATCTTTATCGCAGAGTCTTACTTGATACAGGTTGAGTTAGTTGAGGTAGCGGGCAACGGCCCAGCTACGTTGAAACACCGATTCCCATAGAACACAGAAGTTAAGCGACGTAAGGCGATACTAGCACATACTAGTGGATGGACGGGTGACCGGTTCGAACCTCTGTATCCTGCTGTTGTCCAAAAAGACAAAAGTGTAAAATCTCTTGACACACACTGCTCATTCACGCCGGTTCGAGGCCGGATGAGATCGGATATCTGGTAAGAGTCGATTTAGACACTTGCCAAATCGGTAGGTCATTGACCATGATATGGCCGAGTACCGCGGTTCGGATTCCGCGTACACAAAGTAGGCCCCGTCCAGATTAGCCCTGGCAGGAAAAAGGAGACGTTAACTTCAAATCTTTACTTTACTTTACTTTAGTTCAGGTAGCATTTGACAACCGTATGTCCTATCAAAAGACCTGTTATAATCCGCTCTTTATTCCTGCTAAGCATTAACGGTTCCTTTGGTGTTTTAGAATTACGTCCTTGGATGAAGGCCTTGCTATTTGCTATGCTTATGCCCCTGTCTGTTTCATCAGTGGGCATTTCTCATTTCCCTGATCCAGCGTTTTTCAACAATGGCTTGTTAATAATAAAGAAACTCTTATAAATAAAGAGTTTTCTTAAATGCTCAATTTTAAGAGTACTTGGAAGTATCAATTGTCATTTTCTATGTAAAAACAAGTAATTGTTTATTATACAGGGTTGTTCACCACATACGACACGGAGTATTGTAGCTAAACGATTAGATTTTCCAAGAGTACAGATACTAATATTGTCGATATAGCTCGCTTATTTCATAAAAAAAATTAAAAAAACTGTTTAAATATTTTTGTTAAAAAGGACCAATTAATATGATCCCAGTATTCAGACTACATTAATTGACTGTTTATGTTGATTAATAATAATTGCTCCAAATACTAAAAAACTGAATTTTGTGTGTGTATTAGACAGTGTGGTAAAAAGTAACGGCCTTATAAATTTTATTTCATTTTTTGACGAATGCTGATTTATAAAAACAGAGACGTTTATTTTCATAATTTATTATTATATTGATTTCTGAGCCAAATCCACATTTATTTAGAATACTTTATTAATTAAAACAATTTAAAAGTATGTAATTAACTAATCGTTGGTCGGAAATAATGGTGGTATATTTAATTCGTATACTCTTTTATAAAGATTGAAATAGTTTTTTTGGTATACCAATAGGCTTGCAATATTTACCACCTGTATATTTTGTGTATATATGTTGCTTAAAAAAAATCTGAAATGTCAATATTCCATGGGTATAGTGATAAATGAGGTCTAAATTATAAGAAAATGCATTTTCTACGAAAAGTTGCAGATATAGGTAAAAAATGGTATAATAAAATTTGATAGACAATTAAAGTGTGCATATGATTCACGTAAAATATACAGGGTGTTCCATTTAACTTAAACACGTTATGGCCCTTTAAAGCTAGTAATTATTTAATATACATTTTTGGACACTCTGTATAAGGTAGTAAAATTTTTATTATTGCAACACAATATCTGATGAATAGATAATCTTCAGTAAATATTTAGTATTAAAAACTTTGATACCCTTGGAGAAATGAAGCATTAAAATTTTTACTGCAATTTCTTAAAATTGAAAATATTTCAAAAACGGTAAGGTTTAAGTGTGATAAACCTTAATCAAATTTACCTTTATTTCAATCGTAGAATCCAAAAATAGAATAATATACAGGGTGTTCTATTTAAAAAAAAATACAACTATATTTTTTACTTATTTTGGACACTCTGTATCTTGTAAAAATATTTTTAAATTGTAGCTCTAATAGTCCTTCAACGAACCCAAAACTTACAATTTGTAAAAATCTAATCGTTTAGCTACAATACTTCGTGTCGTATGTGGTGAACAACCCTGTATATTCATTGAAATAGACTCAAACTTTACTTGTTCGTGTTCTGAATAAGTTTTTCGCCCTTGTAATGAGCCACGCCTATGCCTCGGATGTGCTTGGCCATAAATCGTTGAGGGACTACCGTGTAGGACAATTTGGAGACGTTAGGAGGTGTTCCATGCTTACCGCACCACAGTCACACTCGTCGTTTTGTTCAGACATACCACATTTTATTAAGCTGGTTTTTACTGGCGTAACGAATGTGGATTCAGATGTATTTTAGCATTCTAAAGCCATATTATTCTTAAACCATTGTTGCTTATTGATAAGCCACTGGGCGGGTCTTCTGGCAGAGAGCAGTTGACAAGCGTTCATTCATCGGGTCTTGTAGTAAACGATGTCTAGATTTCAGTCCCGGGAAGCTTCCAAACAAGGGGTGATGTTTGTCATTTTTTTTAAACTTTTTGGTGTGTTCGTAAGCTGCTCTTCTTAATTTTAGATCGTTGAAACCTGATGCTCTCTGCAGGTTTCCCAGAGGTGTCGGTTTCATGCATTCTGTCACTATTCTGGCAGAGACATTCAACTGTTGAGAAAAAGACTGCCTGCACTGACCAAAACTGGAAACCTATCCCAGTTAACCGCTGCGTTCTTGATGATTTTGTGCTGTTGTTCTCTGCTACGCCCTGTGCAGCACGAAGTGGAACACAGATCCCGGTTATGTATAATATCAAAGTTCCGAATATCCAAGATGGAACTTTGGAAAAGCAGATTGGGAGAGATATTCATCTGCTCTTGATAAAAATAGTAATATTCATTGTTTCACTACCAATAAACTATCATCGATTCTCGAAGATGATTATATCTACCAACCAGCTTCTCTATGAAGATTATGTGGAAAATGGCAGATCGGATGTGCGGATACTTTGTTACAGAACCTTGATGAAGCAAGAAAGTAGAAATGGTTTGAAACTACTACAAATTTGAACTTTAGGCACTAAAGCGGAAAGGCATAGAGTCTTCTTAAAAAGTTGGGAGCTGACTCCCATAATGTTAGAAACCCGTCCAATATTACAGCTAATCAAATGCCAACCACGTAGCTAATTTGTCAAGAGCTAAAAAGGACAAACAACATTCAATCACAATTAAGAAGGAATTGAATCATCTACTGCACATGAACAACTTTGGCGCATTCACCGTTGATGAAGTGACAATGGCTCTCTAGTTCATAAAGAATGACAGTCACCTGATTTATACAGTATACACCATGAATTCATTACACATTGTGGAATCAGTTCATAACATTGGCAATCAAGATTCTGTACAAGTATTATTCAATTCGAACAGTGGCCAAAAGAATTCCAAGGGCTTTAACAAAAGCCAGTATCTACAGAGGCCAGTTCTCCATCCTCGACATCAGCCGTACCAAAGTTCATGGCACGAACGGTCGTCGTTTCGGCGCACTCAGTGATAAGGTGTTCTGGTGTTTTCCTATTTTCCCTACAGAATCTGCATTCGCCGTTGTTTCTCAGCTTCAGCTTACTGAGGTGTTTGTCGAGGAGACAGTGTCCTGTTAGAAAACCTGTGACAATCCGAAGATTGTTTTTACTTAAATCAAGGAAAATCTTTGATTTTTCTCTGTCGTAAGTTCTGAGGAACGTTTTCTTCTGAGGAGTGTCTTAGACCGTTGGAGGACACCCATTCCAGGTTACGGATGGAGTCTTCCAGATTCTACAGTTCTGCTTTCAGTTGGTTCCCGCTTGGAAAACAGAACGGTTCTGGTCCAGTTAGTGGAGTGTTCGCTCCATTTCTAGCAAGATCATTTGCTTTTTCATTGCCTTCTATCCCTTGGTGAGCAGGCACCCAGAGTAGGAGGACTTTATTTTCTTTGTCCAATTTGTTGAGCTTCTCTAGACATTCTTTGATCAACTTCGAATTTATGTTTGCACAAATAGAGAATGCGCATAAGCAGCAGCACATTACCTAGTAGTTCCCAATGACAGTCTTTTTTGGTACAGCTAGTGACTTCTTACACGCAAAATATTCGTCCACAATTTTCCACAGTTCCACTGTTTTCGTCGAACTCTGTATACCGGTTGTAAATTGATTAAGATGTTTAATTTGAATATAGAATGTAACATGGATTAAAATAATTTATTATGTTGAACTAAGCAATCAGTTGCTACCCGATATATTTCTTATTTGTTATTTTGACCATCAATATCTTTTCTAGGTATGAAAGGTATTGTCAACAAATTTGGTGTTATTCAGAAAGAATATTTCGACAATGCTTATTTTGGAATTCATCGTCAACAATGTACTTACATGGATCCCATGCAACGTCTTATTCTAGAAAGAACATTCGAAGCTCTTATAGATGCAGGTATAAAAAATACATTTTGTGATTCAAGCACTCCATTTCTTTATAAAATCTGCTATAATATTTAAAATTTATATTCAAGGTGTTAATCCAGTGGAAGTGAGAGGAAAACGAATTGGTGTTTTTATGGGATCGTGTATCGGTGAAAGTGACAATCTCTTTATGGAATCTGTCGTCTCAGGTTTTGGAATTGTCGGACATTCCAGGGCTATGATGTCTAACAGAGTATCTTACTGGCTCAATTTAAACGGTAAAAATAGAATTACATTTTTAGTCGAAATATCCAAATATGTATATTTTATTTAGGTCCCAGTGTTGCCTACAATAGCAGCTGGATTGGAGGTATGGAAATGCTTCGAATGGCTTATGAATCTATCAAGACCGGCCAGTGTGAAGCGGCTATTGTAGGTACCGGAAATGTATCTCTGAATAGTGAAATTCAGTGGATTTACAACGACATGGGATTTCTGTCTCCTGACGGTGTTACTAGAGCGTTTGATGTCGAGGGTAAGTTTATCAAAAATAAAAAATCAAACCAAATTAAGATTAATTTGATGCTTTTGTGATTGTATGCTTTACACGAGCACAAATGTGTTTACAATATTCCTACTATATTGGTTAGTTTACTGCCAATTATTGGACTTATTTTATCAACTATTCTAAACCTGTCCCAAAAACTAGGGAAGGTTTTGACAGAATATCCAAAAAATCATATTTTCAGGAATTAATAATTAATTTTCCGAATTAAAATGGCTGAACTGTCACTGTCATGTACCCTATTGTTGCGTTGGCCCGTTGGCCAGACTTTAGATATACTCGTGTCAGACATGTGTCAGACTCACAAAAGACGGAATAGATGACGAACAGGAATAGATGACGGAACGATTGATTTCAGGAAAAACCAATATTGACTCTAAAATTCAGCACAGGATTAGCAGCGCCTCAAGAGCATTCTGGAAATTAAAAGACAAGGTTTTCTACAATCATGACGAGCACCTTGAACGAAACTTGCAGTGTACCAAGTAATAAGAATCCCCACCATTCCATTATATTGAAGCGAAATCTGGGTGCGTAACACCGACACATGAACGCATTAAACAAGTTGCAACAGAGAGGCAATTCTTAAGAATCAAATGGTTCCACCACGTCTAAAACGTATCGGTTCTTGAAAAAGCTAGGTGCGAGAGCGTTGAAGTCATGATTACTAAATCCCGTTTAAGATAGGCTGGTCACATATGGATGCAAGGATGCAAGAAAACCGCCTACCGAAATCTTTTCTTTACGGTGAGCTTGTAGACAGTAAGAGGAAACCGGGTGAAAAACTCAAAATGTACAAGGATATTTTCAGCGAAAACTTGAAGGGGATAAGCATGCAGAATCGGTCTAAAGAAGCTGCGTACAATAGAAAGCAATGGAGAAGGACTGTAAACTCAGTTAACAGCGACAACCAAAAAGCAATGAGATTTTTGAATGTTGGAGTGCGGAAGAGAAATAACATCACGTATCGGGCTTTTCAGCCACAGAAAAGCTCATGAAAGGAAACGCCTTGCGTAATCATCTTCTGATGCGTGTCAAATACTCGTCGGCGAGTAATGGCAGTAGTAGTAGATATACTCGTGTTCATCGTAGATACCTAACATTAGTATTCCCTATAATATCTACATACATGGTGAGTTTCCTACGATGTTCTCTATGGGTATCTCGGAAACTACTGGACAGAGAGAGTCGGTTAAATGGGTAAAGAATTGCAGTTTTGTGGGGTCATAAATATGCGCCTTTCAAATTTTTGAAAAAGTTCATGGCTTACTAGATATTTAGAAAAAAACAAATTTCGGCTATTTTAAAAATTGTCCCTAATTCCATTATAAGCTATTTTAGACAAAAAGTTTTCAGATAAAAGTTCGATAATAGATATAATATAATAAGATAAGATAATAACATCCGTAATGAGATTGTGTCCTCCGTGTTTTTCTAAAACCTGTCATTTTTGACATATGACACAAACATGTTTTTTTAAATGGAAATCATAGTTAACCATGGCTTCATAAAAAGCGCCATTTTTTAAGCTTTTTAGCGGTATAAGCTATAATATGTTTTCTTCGAAAAATTACTGAGTTATAGCCAATCATTTTTAAACAATTTCATTTAGTTAGCCATGGGAACAAGTTAATCGTCTTTGCTCTCATAAATATGAAGCTGTCACATCCAAACTTTGCAAATTAAAATAAACAAAAATTGTAAATATGAATTTTTCAAATGAAGAAAAGCGTGTACGATCATTGGTTCAACTTTTCTTAACCATACATTTTCGAGGATACGTTGACCGGTGAATGTTACGTTTTTTAGAGAACGGTTTTCAAGACATGTTAGAAAAGTCAAATTTAGTTATAGCCAATTCTTATCTTTCTTGGCTAATTTCACTTAGATTGCATGGTATTCTTATTCTGTTATGATTTATAACTTATAAAAACTCAGAATATATTACTAAACGGTTTTTTACAATTTACATTGCACAAACTAAAACTTAAAAAAATAATATCACTACATACACTTTAAGCTATTGTTGCGGACCCATGTGGATTCGACCTAACCTAACTATATGTCCCGCCCTCAGATGACCTTAACATCGCATTAAAGAATAGACACCGTAATGATTCATTCGTTCGAGAAGAATCGAGTCCCACTGGAATGGAATAGTACATACGAGAACAATCGAAACCTTCTCTATGCACCTAACGATCTATGGACTATTCTAGAGATCTTTAGCTGTCGGTATAAAAGTCGGCGGCTGTGGCCTAGAGAGGGCAGTTATAAATAGACAAGTACAGTTGACGCGCTAAAATTCAAAAATAAATTCTTAGTTATAAATCTGTGGCGCCTACGCCATTGCCGCCTCCATCGGTATCAGGCCCGGAGGTTCGACGGCGCAAATAGCTACTCCAACCTCGAGAAGTTTTCTCTTGCCGGTCATGAAGGCCAAGTCTACAGAGAAAAGAAGAACCGAGTGACAGTCCGCGCTGTCATCCGTCAACGAAGCCACTGAACTTAGTCTCAGTCAGTCAGTCAAGATGGCCGCCGGCTAGTCCGATTGTGCTCCTTCGTTTCTGTTAAATCTCAGTCCAATTTATGTTAATGTTAAATAAAAGTTGTTAGAACACGCGCCTCATTTCAATACGACCACGTCACCTTCCCAAAAATCGTTTGTAAATAGTTCTTTAAGTCTTTTATCGTTATTGTTTTTGTTAATTAGTATTAAATAAATAGTGTTTAAATAAATTGTGACTGTTTATCCACACGGAACCGACGAAAAACGTAATAATTGGTGTCAGGTGTGGGGTGTGTGATAGACTAGGAAAATAAAAAGACAGACAATGGCTCCGAAAAAATTGTTGACTTGAAAGTGTCGGAATTAAAATGCGTACTGGAAGAGAGGGAATGCGAAACAGATGGAAAGAAAAGCATTTTACAAGCCAGACTGAGAGACGTTTTGATTGAGGAAGGTGAGGATCCTGACACATTTTGCTTTGAGCTGGAAGGTGACCTTGACTCGTCCTTACAAAAATTAGAAGATAAAATAACGGAAAATTCTCACAAGTTGGAAGAGAAAATTAGTGATAAAATTATGGAAAATTCACTGGATTTGCAAGAAACTTTAAATGATAAAATGAATATTTTAGAAGAGAAGATTGCAGAAAATTCTAAAGACATACAGGCCAGCTTTAATAATAAAATACTTAATTTAGAAGAAAGTTTATACAACAAGATAACAGAAAACTCCAGGGAATTAGAAGAAAAGATTATAGAGAATTCAACGGAGCTACAAGACAAAATAACACAAATTGAGGACGATGTAAACAGAAAGATAGAAATATTAAAGGAAAAAATAGCGAAGGCGACTTCACCATAACGTCAAGAATCGTCGGAAGACCGACACTCGTCGAAAATAAGTGTACATCAAAGTCAGTTATTAAGCATCCACAGTTTGACGGAAAAACCGTTTGGGCCAATTATTTTTGCCAGTTTGAGGCCTCTGCGAGAGCGAACGGATGGACAATCGCTGAAAAGGCTACCGCTTTGACTGTCGCACTGCGAGGAGATGCGACTGACATCCTGCAGACACTGTCACCATCGGAACAGGGAGATTATCAGCAATTGGTACGACATTTAGAAATGAGGTACGGCCAAGCTCATTTGGAACATGTCTACCATTCCCTCTCAAAAATCGTGTTCAGCACCAATGAGACCCTAAGAGAATATCAAACTGAAATAGTACGCATTGCGTACCCTGCTATGCCCGAAAATGTTATGAAGTGCTTAACAGTACAGGCTTTTATTGATGGTTTATGTGACAACGAGACAAGGCAAACACTTCTTTTGGCTCATCCAACGCATTTGGGAGATGCCCTAGCACGTGCCCTGGAATTTGAGGCCGCGAAAGAATGCTCTAGGTCTCTAGGATTTGTACGGGCTGTTGAGGAGTGTTCCGATGATTCCAAAGTGGAAAGGATTGTGCGGAAAGTACTGGGTCAGTATATGAGCAAGAAGGGGTGACCGATTCGCTGTTGGAATTGCGGACAGATGGGAAATCGTTGCAAAGAAGAGAAAGAAGTGAAAGTGTTAAGGACGACCGTGGTTGGTGATAGTTAGCAAACCGAAGATCTTGCAAATGACCAAATCAGCGATCCAGAGTTGGGCTTGGTGATTAACTGGAAAAACGCGGACCAGAGACCAACGTGGGAGGAAGTTTGCAGATATTTGCCGAACGTGAAGTCGTACTGGTCCCAGTGGAATTCATTGGTAATAGATAACGGATTACTTCGCCATGTGATTGAGAGACCAGAGGGACAAGAAGAGAGAAGGCAAATCGTCATTCCAAAGAAGAGGGTCCCGGAAGTCTTGGCGGAAGTTCACAATGGAACCAGCGGTAAACATCTTGGTGTTAGCAAGACCCTTGGCAAGCTGCGTGAACGGTTCTATTGGGTGAACTGCACAGAAGACGTGAGGGCCTGTGTAAGAAAGTCCGGAGACGAACGATGGCAACAAATACATTGTGGTAGTAATGGATTACTTCAGCAAATGGGTCGAGGCCTACGCGTTGCCAAATCAAGAAACGTCCACCATTGCTGATGCCCTGTTAAAGAATGGATATATGCAGGTTTGGTGTTCCCATGGAGCTTCATTCAGATCAGGGAAGAAACTTTGAGTCCAATCTGTTTCAAGGCGTCTGTGAGGTCCTTAACATCCGCAAGACCAGGACGACTGCTCTACATCTACAATCCGATGGTATGGTTGAACACATGAACAGAACTATCAACCGTTATCTGGCCAAAGTAGTCTTTGACCACCAAAGAGACTGGGACAAATTCCTTCACCTGTTCCTGTTCGCCTACCGTTCATCCATCCAAGAATCTACAGGGCAAACCCCAGCCAGCATCGTTATGGGACGGGAAGTGCGCCTACCCTGTGATCTGAAATTTGGTTGCCGACCGGGAGAAGAAGTCGCCGGA